TTTTATTATTTCATAACCTATAATACAATATTATTGTGCCTTAGCCAAGATTTATAAAGCTTGGTACTAACCAGAAATTCAATATGTCAAACACACAGATATCAGAAATTCCCTGAGCTGCATAATGCTAAACCTGGAGAGAATATTTACTTAAACCTTTCCCTGTAGCTCTGCTACTGACCAGTGTCAGGGAAAGGAAACTTGTTCTGCCTCCCTGTGGCCACCCTCATGTATAATAAAGCTTGTACTTGAAAAATGAAAAGAAATACCACTGAGTTTTAAATATTGCAAGAAAATCTTCCCTAAAACATTAGTTATACGTACTTATTTAATTGTGCATGAAATACAGATCCTCACATGTGCTTTCATTGAGGATCAATTATTAAAGGACAGAAACTACACATAGTACAAATCTTCAAACACAGCTTGTGCAGAACTGAAATGCCCCATCAGTTTTAATTGTGGCTAGTTTCAGGGATGGAATCTGGTCAAAGTGGGTTGTAGGCTGGATCAAGGAGAACAAAAAGTTCTGGCATATCTTGAAAAGGGTAAATACTAGATTAGACATCATCTAACGGCCATGCAGATAGTACAACTTTCAGATATTTGGCAACAGTTTATTCATCTAATTCATTACAGTTTTGACCTGAATTAATGTTAACTGTTGTGAATCCAGGTAAACTAAAATCGAACCCTGTTGACCAGCCTGTTGTGCTTTTGCTTTTTCCATTTCCATAGCTCTGATACACTGCTTCTGATTCATTTACACTAAGATATGAAATAACAGTAAGGTTTATGGTTGATTTGTTCCTAATACTTAAAAAGCAAGTTGTGTCTCTGCAATTTTAAATGTGACTAGCAGTATAGCATCTAGTTATTTCACCTATGCAGAATGACACAGTAAATTTGAGCATCTGTCTGTGTGTGTTGAAGCAACATAATTTTCTTATCTAGAACCTCTTTATGGTTCTTCATCACTGTGTCTTATTTATTAATCATGGAAATTGAATGTAGCTACTATGCTATTTTAATCCTTATGGAAGAACTTTGTACTTTATAATTCATACATACTTACTTGCAAGCGTAATTTGTCGAGCAAAGTCCACCAGAGTAAGCACGGTGTGAAATAATGAAGATGCAATTTTGCTGCATTTGAGATAGCATGTTGGAGCTATTTATTCACTTGGACTTAAGTAGCAGGCAAAGTACAACTGTAGAGAATGAGCTCATTCATTTGTGTGCATTTTAGTTTGTGAAGCTTCACTTGAAAGAGGTAAGGTTGCCTGCCTAGTTCTCTTTTCTACAGTTGCTTTCTTGATAATTTATAATCCAGGTTCTATTCTGGAATTAAATGGATCTGTAAGTCATTTCAGTGTGTAAATATGAGGGAAGAGAAAGGACTGAGTCACTCAAAAATGCCAAAAGAAAAACAAAGTAGCTAAAAAAACCCCCCGAAACTCCAGATCCAAGTACAGTTTTCTTGAAGTTTAGTGATGCTTCTGGGTTAGGTTTTGATTTTAGGTCATTTATAATATAATAATTAATAATAGCAGCAGTAATAAAAGCTTTCAGGGAAAAAAAGGATACATGGCAGTGGGAAATGCAGGACCTAGGAGAACTTAAATGTTTTAAGGGAAATTAATGAAATTTCAAGGTAATTTTCCAGTTCATTAAGATCCCAATGTCACATGACTAGCATAAAATAGAAAACTGTATAAAATAGAACATTGTATGTTAATAGTAAATCAGGTTTATTACTGGATAGTTTTAGGTACAGCAGAAAATTCTATTTTACTCTTTTTCCTGTATGGTAGGAATAAAATTTAACTCTCAAACCTGAATTTTATTAGGATGATTTATCTTGGATTTTTTTTTTTTTTAAATGCTAATGTTTTTTTTCACTCTGGAAAACTGTTTGCTGAAACTGCTGCTAGGTCATTAGATTTATAAAGAATGTGGCTCTGTTGCAACATAAACCACTATAGGGAAGGGTCCTGGCCTCTGTAGACTCTGTGCTGACGCCGGCAGGAAATAAGCTCTGAGCAAAGAGCTGCTTGCTGGATACGTTTTCTGCCTTTGTCAAAGCCACTGTGGGCAGCTCAGCTTTTAAAAATAAAAATGAAAAAAATTAAAAGAGTTTGGCTAGAGTCTAAATAAATGTGTTCTTTGGGAGTACGGGAAACATTTGTTATCCTGATTCAGTCTAAGCTGTTGATACAGAAATTTCCCTTCAGTCAAGCTGAGGTTTGCCTAAGCCTTCTTGCTCTGTTGGATGAAGGGTTACTAGATGTGTAACCCCAAAAGGAGGACAAAATGAGTCTCAAAACTCATTTTATTCAATATATTGAACCCTTGTGGGTTTTGAAGAAGCTTAAGAAAAGTTCCTTTTGCTTTGTTTGTTGAGCATTTTTTTCAAGTCTGATTTAAACCTGTGACCTATTATTTAAAGCTGTAGATGGAAATTCCTAAAAAGCATAGTCCAGATGTGCTGAAGTGTGTTCTCCAGAGCAGGGAAATGTTTCCAGCACTCAGAAGGCCATGTCTTTGAGTACTTTCTGCACTATAGACAGTCAGCAGAGGCAGTGCTACTATTTCTGCCAGTTTGACCCTTGCTGCCTTGATTTCACTAATTTGGGCTCAGGGAATTAGCAAAATTCAATTCTGATAAATATAAGATGTGCTTTTTCATTTGTCATTACAGTGCTTTCTATGTCTTTTTGTCACCCATAAAATTGCATTATGTTTTGTTGCCCAGCATGGCACAAGTTTACAGAGGTGAGTGACATTCTAAGTGTTGGAGCCCAGTACTCCATGTCAGAAATCCTGTGGGAGACATACGGAAAAGGAGAACCCTTAAAAGATGGAAGAAGCCAGTTTTGGCAAGAGGCTTACTATATCAAAGCTGGGTACTCAATACCTTTCTCTTTCAGGACTTCCATGCTAGAAGTGATAAACCTTTCCATGTCTGGTTCCAGTCTGTGTTACAGTTCCGTACCGCTGCAGGAGGACTGACTCGGGAGCAGGATGCTGTCCATGCACTCAGCGGGATTTGTTCTGTTCTTGCTCTCACGTTGCACTGTGTCAGTGAGCACTGAAGAGGCAGTGGTTTTGGCTAATGCCCACCTTCTCCCCCAGAGAGGCTATGAGAGACTGGGTAACGCCAGGGAAAAAGGTACTCATGAAGAGAGCGAGTGATCTGGATGCATGCTGTGTTTTACTTTATTGCTCTGCTGTAACATATTCAGCCAACATACTTGAAAGTTAGCCCTGCAAAAATCCTTTGCAATATAAACATGTCCTTCCCTGGAGTCCAGAATCTTTAAAACCTTGCTCAGCTGCCACCTAATTCAAGGGAAATTAACAGGTTGGGGGTTTTTTTTGTAAAATGTTTTGTGGCATTTTAAGTTTTACTCTTAGGACAATCATATCTAGATTACAATTTGACACCTCGGTTCCTAAATCCCACTGGTACCTGCAACTGAGGCATCCCTCTGCATATCTAGCTTGCAATGTCCAGCTCGGCAGGTTTTCTAATACATTTACCAGAGCAGATCCCACATAAAATGTACACAAAAATTGTAGAGGGATTGATCCATTTTCCTCCTCTGACTGATGACACTTTAGGGTTTATAAAACTAACTTTTTAAGTGAATCCTGTATCAATCAGCCTAAATGATTTTCTCATTATCCATCTATTGAAATTGTTCTATTTTGCATGAATAATATTCACTGAGAAGGGTGAATACAAGTGTCACTGCATATACTTCTGGCTTGGACATCACTATATAAATCACTTAATTATTCTATAAAATCACAGGATCAGGCTTGGCAGTTGGATAAGGTGAATGTTCTAACAACTGGGGTACAGTGTCATGTACACAGTTCTGCTCTTCAGGATATTTAATAACATCATGTGGATAGTATTGAGATTTAAAGTAGTTTATTTGTGGCTGTAGATTCTATCAGGCAATGAAAGGCATAAAAGTAAGACCTTGGGAAGCCTATATATTGCTGTAAATCTGTCCTGAATGGCTTAAAAGTACCATTAAACTTCTGAATTGCAAAGATTATATTTAACACAATACTGTTAGTATAAATAATACTATTTAACAGCTTTACTCCATCTGGACTTCAGCAAAGCCTATAATACAATACTTCATACACTATTAAATCAGAGAATAGGAATATGATGATAAAATTAAATGATAGCATGAAGTAGAGAAACTACAATATAAAAACCCAGGATATTACACAGGAAGTAAAAAAAAAAAAAAAAAAAAAACAAAAAAAAAACAAAAACCAAAAAAAAAAACCCCCAGCCACAAACAAACAAACACCAAACAAATAAAAAAAAAAAAAAACCAACCAGATAATCTTAAGTTATACCACTGAGATGAAAAATAAAGTACAAAACTCTGGGTGTTACTGCAAAGTGAGAACCTTGCCTCACAAAGATCCAAAGACCAAACTCTAGGTGAAAAATGCCTACACAATACAAGTTCAATCCTAGAATATATCAACAGAGATGTTTGTAATAAGACTTGGGAAGAATCAGTGGCATTAGGCAAGTCCATCTACAATAGTGTGTACAAACTCTACCCACCTTCTAGATTAATTCACAGTGAAGATGTTCAGAAAAGCTACTTAAGACAGTTAAAGAAGAGAACATTTATCTTACACTAAATAATGAAAGAACTTTTTTATCCTAACAGAATTTGCCCTAACAAAACAAAGGCTGATTAAAAATATAGTTGCCCTCACAGTACACCAGGGCTTCTTACCCAGGAAGAAGCACTGTTTAACTAAAAGATGACATGACACGAGAAAGAAAAAGATGGACAGTGGACAGAAATAAAATTAGATTTGGAACCAGTTGAATATTTATAACAGAGTAGTGGCAGTTATTGAAGTCTACAATGCTTTCCAGTTGGAAGAGAAGATACAATAGTCACTCACAGTCCCTGTCTCTTTACAGAAAGTTGTTTGTTTTTCTTCACTAGCCAAACTGTTCAGTACACTTTTGACCTGTTGGTCACCAGACCCTGCAATGAGATTGACTCTTTTCAGACTCCGTTCTTCTATTCAGGAAAACAAAAACAATGTGTTCAGGAAAAGCATCAGCAGGAGCTCTCTGGTAAATGCTCTTCTGGGCAGAGAAGTTTTTCTTCTGAGCTTTTATTTTAAATCGTTATCTTTTGAAATATATTTCCTTGATCATTTTTCAGCAAATTTTTGAAACAACCAAACAAACACGCCAAAAAAACCCAAACAACAACAAAAAAAACACCTCTGGACATCTTGACATACTTTTCCTGAATTATCCCAGTTTCCCAGAAGAAAAAAAAATTAAGTTCTAAATACCATATCTAAATTCTTGTCAGTCATTGTCAGGACAGAACATAGTATTTCCTAGGTCTGAAGAACTGTCATTCTACATCACAGGAAGTCTGTGGGAATTTTTCTCATAGAGTTATTAAAATTGTCAAGTTTTTATTAAATGCAAATTACAAATGTTCCATAATATACTGACATAATGACATGCCTTTCAACTCTATGGAGAAGTGAGTGATTTCAATTCATAAACATGTTTCTGAGTAACAGAATGGACATCCTTCTCTACAAAAGGAATTGTCTCTACATGATGTCACACATACATAAATGTATATTTAAATAAATTTTATTCTGGCTTTTAGAAGTCTCAGTCAATTGTAAAACACAGAGCATTGTTTTGTGGTCTCAGAGATGATCAATACTATACTACAGCAAGAATTTACCTTTCAAGCAAGTTATATTTAAAAAGAAAAAAAAAGTATATATGTTTCAGCCTAATAAGGAGGATCATCACAAGCCTTTTATGCCATTTTTATCACCCTCTGAGCCTACGGGATAAGCAATAAAATGGAAAAGCACTGTAACCTATTTTTTTAATTTCTGAACGTTTACTCCAGGTTCTGCCTTGAAATCTTCCCCCGTTAGATGAGTAGGTGCCCAGCAGCTGGGATGAAGTTAGAGGCAGCCTCGAGTCAGAAGGCAATCATTCACTCTCTCAAAGGAGAGTTAAATACCTAAAATTTACTATTTGAACAGAAATTTACTTTAAAACATTTTTTTCCCCCCTGCTCAGAGTATCCAAGGGATTGTTTTGAGATTTTTCAGCGTTCAAAAGGAAATTCCCGAGATGGTCTTTACATCATCCAACCAAAGGAGGACCCGATTGTTGTCTCGTGTAACATGCAGGATGGTGGCTGGACAGTAATCCAGCACATTACAGCCAATAGTACTGTTGACTTTGATAGGACCTGGCAGGATTACAAATACGGATTTGGCTCCGTTCATGACAACCACTGGTTAGGAAATGAATATATGCATCAGCTAACTAGCGGCTCCGTGCGATATATACTTGGGGTTAAACTTGTAAACCTCGATGCTGAAATCAAGTGGGGACAGTATGAACCATTCCTTATTGAAAATGAAGAGTCTCAATACCGAATCAGGGTTGGCCTATACCAAGGCAACGCCACCAATGCTCTGACCCTGGATACAGAAGCTTACCTGCATGACAATCAGAAGTTCACCACCAAGGACAGAGACAATGACAACTACTTCCAGAACTGTGCTAAACTGGAACACAATGGCATCCCTGGGGGAGGCTGGTGGTACGACGCATGCGCTGGAGCAAACCTAAACCGCAGGAATGTGATATACTGGCAAAAGGACTGCAACAAGCAACGCCTGTGCAAGTTTGCATGGATGATGATCAAGCCCATTGACCACAGCCTGTCATACCCACCCAAATCCTGTCCATGTCCAAAAGTTGAATTGTAGATAAGGAACATGGATTCTTTGTCCGGTGGCTGAAGTGAACTCACACTGACTGAATAATCACACTAAGTAATCCTGACTGAAAATGTAATTTGGGCCTCTAGAAGGGCTTTATGATAGCATATCATCCCCAGGACACAAACTTCTATGAACCACACAAGTCAGAAGTCACTGTCAGCAACCGAGGCATCTACCAGAAGATTTAAAAAATTAATTTTATAGTTTTTTAGCCATAAGAGGAATCAGGTATGAAATCCAGGATATAATGTCTTGAATGAGATATACATAAATGTACATGCATTTCAGAAGGTGTTGCTCTACTGTGAATGTTCATTTTTGATATCCTGTAATTGCATATCTTCACATTTCATGCAGGAAGTAAATTCCAATGAAGTACCTACGTTTACTAAATGCATCTTGGGGAGTACTGTGTACCATAAGGCAACATCAGGCCTTTGATTTTTACCTGTAGTAAAAGGTATTTTAATATATAATATTTGAATTAGCCTAATTTCCCATGGCTTATTTTCCCCTTCATTTACTCTTCTTTTTATCTTTACCTTTCAATGATCCCACAAACAATGAAGTATTTGTAATGGGCTTTTCTTCCTTCTTTTTAGAGCACCCAGAGCTAATGGGATCATCAGCTTTCCCGTTTAAAGCTCCTAATCCAAAGGTTACAACTCCTCTGAATTCTTTCCCAAGAAACTCAGTGAACACGTTTTTTAAAAGATCAAACTGATTTCACAATTGTTTACTTATTGCTCCATTTTTTTTCCTGAATATTACTCCTCTTTGTTTACCATGTTCTGACTGTTGCTCTTCCCTGTTCCATAATGTGCTTCAGCTTTCTCTTTTTTAATACCTCTGTGAGAAAAGAAGAGAGTGTTGGCTTTACTTCACATTTGTTAGCTTCAACTGTTTAAGCACTCAACCTTGATATTTAAACAGTGCCTTTTTTCTGATTACAAAGATAAAGAGAGGATCTTTAGATTCCATTATAAATTCATCTGTTTAAAATAATAATAAAAAAAGATTGTAGTTTTGACAATCTTGAAGACCTTGTTTTCTTTTACAGCTGTTTGGTTTCCTTCACACATTTCTGCATCACTGGAATAGCTGAATGCCAACTGAAGAGTTGTCATTGTGGCATTATACAAAATGTCAGGATAATATTTAGAATATCTTGTGTGTTTTCTTAGGTGTTTCAATTACAGAAACTCAACCAACAGATACTGGCAAACTTCCGCTTTTAATTTTAAAATGTAATCTCTTAATTTCCATGAAAATTACTTCATGTAAAATAAATTGTATTGTGTTTGGAGGAGACCAAGCCTACCAGGATTACTTAAGAAGAGAAATTACTTGGGAAGTGGAAAAGCCAGGAAAGTAATTTATATTTCTTACAATGCATTGCAACATTTTCAGGAGGAGATACAGACATGTTACGTGGGTGAGGCTAATATAGCATATTTTTTCCCCCCTGAAATTGTGTTCAAAGGGAGACGTGGATAGCAGCTGAATTGAGTTTGTGTCAATTAGTCAATTTAGGGTGGGTTCTGTTGTAACTCTATCAAGACGCCTCCAAAATTGTAACGAGGATACAAGAAAATCATCTGAGTTTTGACAGTCTCCCACAGCATTTGTTTGAATTCTTGGCCTTGCAGACAGATTCTTGCCCCTCTTCCAAAAATGTGTTTTCAATAATCTTGATGTGGAAGCACACAGCTGAAAGCCAGCAGGCTGTGTCTGATCTTCAAAGGCAAGTAACCTGCTCTGCAGCCCAGCCTTGGCCTGTTTTGGAGAGTTTGGGAGGAAAGGACTGTGCAAGTAAGCTGTATGAATGACCCAAGGACCAGCAGCCCACCTCCAGCTACCGTTTCAGAGGCACTCTAACATTAACTGCAGCTCTAGAAAACTATGTTGACATTGAATTCAAGTATAGGAATTAGATTAAAATGTAATCATAACACATAACAACACATCTCCAAGCAAAAACAAGACAAAAAGATTAATCCAGTTCAAAGACATTTAATGGAACTCAAAGACTGAAGTACATTCCACACTTTTAAACAAAGTATGGATGGAAATAACTACTGGAGCTGGATTTAGGACTAAGTAGTGGATCAGTAAAAATATTCCAGTACACCCACCAGCACTTCTTTCTAGAGTTCTTAAAAAGAAGGCCATGAAGCCTTAAAATGTAGACTGAATTCTACATGTAATTCCTTAGCAAAAAGCTGTCTCAACAGAAGAGGTTTTTTTCTCCATCACTGAACCTTAATCATCAGATACCCAGAAGAATGCTGAGAGCAACTGGCTGTCAACACTAAATCAGCAAAATCACAGTCTGGGGGGGTTCTGTTCTCTCTATTTTCTTTTCCCTATCACATTTTACCTGTCCTCTATCTCTCTCAGCCTTTCCTGATTATCCTGCCTCCTACATGGACTTGAAGAAAGGACGTGGGTCCTCCCAGGAATATCTGGTAGAAAAAAAGTTTATTTGGTCAAATAAACATCTTTCCAAAATGAGAAAGCATGACAAGGCCTAGAGCAATAGGTATATGGCTGACTTCCAACTCCAAGCAGCCGTGAATGGGAGGCATATTCCACTCCAAATATCCTAACAATAGCAGAAAGAAATAGATTTCTTCACCTCTGTGCTATGTTCTATTTCTCCCCATATTGTTTTCTCAGCGGCAGGAGAGGTAAGCACATTCTCATGTACAATATGACATTAATCAACTCGGAATTTAGCAGAAGGAAAAAATATTTTTAAAAAATACCAACTGCCAAAATAAGAGAGCCTGATGACCTCTTTCTAGGAAAAACTGATTCATTATTATTTGTCTTTAATAGTCATTCAGTTTTCATATGAGAAAGTGCTTGGTTTTGTTTCTCATTTTCATACAATCATTCAACTTTCATATGAGAACATGCTTCGTTTTGTTTCTAATTTTCATATGTGTAGCCTAAAGAAATTTCCAGACTTCCACATAACGTTTTTTATGTGTTAACCGTAGGTTTAAGAGTTTGACAAAGTGATTTTAGGACCAAGGATTGAATATTGTGCATCAATAAATTGGCAACGTTACTTGCCCCGGCTCACTTTTCTTCCTCTAATATTAACAAAGCAAAGAGTCCTTTAGTCACTCTCTTGTCTTCTGTGTTTCAGAAGGCATCAGGACCCAGGCAGGGCTGATTCCAGCCACACTCCACAGCTAGTACCCACCATACCCTCTCTCTGCTCTTCCTTCTATAGGAAAATGAGTTGCACATCTAAGAAGGCCTTATGTACAGCATAGAGTGAAAACAACTGTCTAACCTCCACTACGTCTAGATGGCTGCCTCATGTAAGAAGTAACAGATATTCCAGCTTATATCTTGGCATTTTAATCCAGGATTTCAGTAAAAATCCTTAAACTTCACAGGTCTACTGAAACAGGAGCCACAAGTGACGGAAGTACCTGTTGAGAAGAAAACTTCTGAAGGACCTTAAATATGTAGTTGTTTGAGGAAAACTGACTTCTTTGCTTTATCAGCAGATCCATGAAGAAACTAATCGTATTTAGCACTAATGACATAAGTAAAAGGCATCAGTTTTATTGAGTATAATGAAAACTGAAGTCCCTAATCTGATATGCAGCTCAGCAGTGCCTGTTAAACCTGAAGAAATTCATTTACCAAGACAGAAGAAATAATTGCAACACTATCCCTTTCTGAAATCACTAATATTCAGAGATTAGTTGTATGACACAATGCTATCAAATTTTTTTTGTTGTTTTTCTACTAGATATAGCTATGGGGTAACTTAATCATAAACAAGAAGTTTATTTGGATGATCAAAGTTTAAGGTTTTATGACACCCAACTGTCAGTTGTATGTGGAAGAACAGTTCTTAGAGGGTACAAAAGGCAACAATTTGGGACATCCATATAAGAATGAATGTCCTCTTTCTGATTTGGCAGAAGGAAAGCCAAGTATTTAAGTGGAAAGACACAGTATGCAATTTTGGAGTTCAGGTTTGCAAGGGCATTTCAAAATGGAGAAGCCACTAACTACCCCATGGCTACAGGAGCATTTCAGGAGCTGATGGAGCCCTTGGAGTCCCCAACACTGAAGGGGAGCCTTTCAGAGAGAAGTTTCTTACCTGTAATGGTCTGTAGCTCATAAAAGTACTGAATGTGTGGTGTTGGTTTGTTTTTGTTTGTTTGGTTTTGGGTTTTTTTGTGTTCTGGTATTTCTCACTATGCCGAAGCGACTCTTTCTTATTATTTCTACCTCTGTAGAAAGCAAAGAAAATTCAGAGGACAGTTACACCATTCCATTTGTTCATTTATTTTCCTAGAGCAAAGAATCCAGAAAAGGCAGAAGTACGTATGTCCCCTATGCAGAGTAATTTTTAAAAAGAAACATCCAAAAATTATCCTTCAGTATGAAGATTTGTGAACTATGAACTATGGGAGGGAACCTGTGTTTCCTACCACAAGTAAACTAGCATCTTACAAAATTCTATTCAAAATCCAGAATCTGAAAAACGTCCCTAGGAATTCAATTCAGTTACTGGCGATGAGAGGAAACGGGCCCAAGTTGCGCCTGCATGTGGCACTTGGGGACATGGTTTAGTGGTCATGGTAGTGTTGGGTGATGGCTGGACTCGATGATCTTAGAGGTCTTTTCCAACCTTAATGATTCTTTGATTCAAACTCTGTATCCGGTTTCAAAACAACAGTGTTCTACAAGAAAGCAGCATCTTCTGGACTTATATGGGATTCTTTAGTTCTTGTAATGAGTTCTCAGTTAAATCTAACCTACTTAGTACATCCCAGTACATTTTTATTCATTCAGATATGTGATTATCACATACCCTTAGCTAGGTTTGCGTTAAGATTTATCAGTTAAACTAGTTTGACATGTTCAGGTCATCTATCAAATACAACAAGAAGGCAATGTCACAGATGTCTGAGAAAAGCCCTGTGTGGGAGATAAAAGTGATCAGAATA